GAGCCACAAGCCTTTGTTATCATTCTTTCTTTTTCTATTCTTAGCCAGCCTTCTGATGAAATCCTTTCTTCCATTCTTTTAATATAGTTTTAATATAATATATATCATAAAATAATAAATCAAGCCTTCTGAAACATAAAGTCAAATCCTTCTCTCTTCCCTAATCCAAGAACCCCTGTAAACACGGTCACAGAAGGTGACTGTGCTCAGGGAAGACAAATCCCATGGATTTTGCTGGAAAACAGCCCTGGATTGACCCCCAGGGCAAAGGCACCCATGGGTGAGGGGAAGGGGCCTTTTCCAGCGGTGTCCATGAGACACGGAGAGAGGAAAGGGGGGAAAAGTTTGGGATCAAGCTGAGAACCCTGAATGATCCCAGGAGGTGTTCTGGGTTTACACCAGGGGGATTCACCTGGAGAAAAATATTCTGGGATGAGGCTGTTCCTGAAGTTCCAGAGCCTGGGAATGAGGGTTCTATCATGTGCAAACGGGGTTGGGGTTAGAGAGGCTCCAGCAGCCTCCTCTTCCTGCCTGGAATTCCTGGAAAAGCCCCAGGATGTGCAGAAGGGCTCCTGAGGGGCTTCTGGCAGGGCCACCCATGAGGGGTGACACGGGGACACCTCTGTGCCCCAGCTCCAGCTTCCCAAGGGGGTGAGCAACCCCAGCATTGCAGAGGGATCCAGGGATGCTGCAGGGCTGGGGGAGGGCTCGCTCCAACCCCAACTCCCAAATCTGCAGCTGGGACCCCAAAGCTGGAGCTGATTTGGGGCTGAGCTGCTCAGTCAGGGTCTCCTGCAGCTCCTCCATGAGGCATCCAAAGGCTGGAAAACCTGGATTTGGAGCAGGGAAGAGGTGATAGAGATGTGATTTTGGGATGTCCTCCACACACTGCCCAGAGAGCACCCAGCCCCAAAATCTCCCAAAAATGGGAGCAGGCAGGGATGCAGCAGAACCTTCCATGGGGCTCCTCCTCCTCCGTGGAGCAGCTGAAGGCCAAGAGCTCAAGCCTGGCTTGGAAACTTGGTTTTGGTGCAGGGAAGAGGTGATGGGAGATGGTTTTGGGATGTCCCCCACACCCTGCACCACAGAGAGCACCCAGCACCCACCCAACCCCAAATCTCCAAAACTGGGGAGCTGGGAGCAAGCAGGGATGGAGCAGCTCCAGAACCTTCCATGGGTCTCCTCCACCTCTTCCTGGAAAGAATGGATTTGGAGCAGAGAAGAGGTGATGGAGATGTGATTTTGGGATGTCCTCCACACACAGTTCAGGGGGCAGCACAGAGAGCACCCAGCCGCAAAATCTCCCAAAAATGGAAGCAAGCAGGGATGGAGCAGCTCCAGAACCCCCCATGGGTCTCCTCCACCTCCTGCTGGAAAGGATGGATTTGGAGCAGGGAAGAGCTGATGGAGATGTGATTTTGGGTGTCCTCCCCACACTGCCCGGGGGATAGCGCAGAGAGCATCCAGCCGCAAAATCTCCCAAAAATGGGAGTAGGAAGGGACAGAGCAGAACCTTCCATGGGTTCCCCTTCAGCTCCTTCATGAGGATGAGCCAAGAGCTCAGGCCCAGCTGGAAAAGGTGGATTTGGAGCAGGGAAGAGGTGATGTGAGATGGTTTTGGGGTGTCCTCCCCCACACACTGCCCAGAGGAGCAGAATCCCCAAAAAGTGGAGTGCTGGGTCTCCTCCTCCTCCTCCATGGAGCAGCTGAAGGCCAAGAGTCAAGCCTGGCTTGGAACCTTGCATTTGGAGCAGGGAAGAGGTGATGTGAGATGGTTTTGGGGTGTCCTCCCCCACACACTGCCCAGAGGAGCAGAATCCCCAAAAAGTGGAGTGCTGGGTCTCCTCCTCCTCCTCCATGGAGCAGCTGAAGGCCAAGAGTCAAGCCTGGCTTGGAACCTTGCATTTGGTGCAGGGAAGAGGTGATGGGAGATGGTTTTGGGATGCCCTCCACACCCTGCACCACAGAGGGCACCCAGCACCCACCCAACACCAAATCTCCAAAAAAGGGACAAGCAGGGATGAGCAGCTCCAGAACCTTCCATGAGCACCCAGAGTATCCATGGGGACATCCCTGGGATGATGTGGGGCGAGGAAAGCAGCCATGGGGCTTTGCTGGGGGTTTCAAGGCTGTGGAGCCCTCCCAGCCTCTCTCTGTCCCTCCCAGACCAGCAGAGACCCCAAACCAGTCCCAGTGCCCCCTTACCAAGTAAGGCTGCCACTTCATAGGCTTTCTTCTGCTCAATGGTCTCGTAGTTGAGTGCTTCAAAAAAAATGTCCAGCACGAGAATGTTCTCTCTGTGGGAACAGGGAAACACACATCAGCCCAGGAGCCACTGGTGGCTCAGTCCTCTGGGATAAGGAAAAATGGGATTTGGGGCTTTATTCCCCTTTTTGTATGGATTGTTCCTCTCTCTGGGGTCCTCAGAGCCCACAGAACCTGGAGCTGGTGCAGACCAGGAGCTCAGAGAGCCTTTGGAGCAGCTGGGAAAGGTTTGCCCAGAATTCCTCAGGATCCTGGATCTCACTTTGCTGGGAACTCTTCTCTTGGATGGTAATTCCTGATTGTGAGAGTGGGCAGGCCCTGGCACAGGGTGCCCAGAGCAGCTGGGGCTGCCCCTGGATCCCTGGCAGTGTCCAAGGCCAGGCTGGACAGGGCTTGGAGCAGCCTGGGATAGTGGAAGGTGTCCCTGCCATGGCAGGGGTGGCACTGGGTGGGTTTAAGGTCCCTTCCCACCCAAACCATTCCAGGATTCCCTGATTCTGGGAAGAGAATCCAAAGGATTTGGAAGAACTCTCACTTCCCACACAGAGCAATCACATGCCCAGGGCTGGGAGAGCTCCATGGCCTGAGGAGCTCAGCCCAGAGACACAAATCTCCAACAGGACCACCAAAACTGGGAAATTTTGCACTTTGTTTGGTGCAAAACTGGAGGATTCCCATGAGGCCAATCCTTGGGAAGGAACTCAGAGAAGAAATCTACTGAGAAGAAATCAACCTCATCTCTCCCAGGTTTTCACTCTGTCCTTCTCTGCAGGCCATCCCTGTGCTGGGGATGGATTGGCCAGGACTGGGCATTTCCCAGACATTTCCCACCCAAAACCCAAAGGAATCCAGGCCCTCCCCCACTCACGAGATGTATTTTTCCGACTTGTTGAACTTCTTCTCCAGGTACTTGGCCGAGGTCTTGCTGGGGATCTTGACCATGGAGAGCTCCTTGTTGTACCTGGTGAGGTTACAGGGGGTCCTGCAGATGCAGTAATTGCTGTCCTTCTCTGCCAGGAGACCTGCAGGGGGGCAGCCATGGAGCACACGGGGTCCCCATGGGGCAGGGAGGGACCCCAAGGAGCAGAGACAGGGAGCAGGGACCCCATGGAGCAGGGAGGGACCCCGTGGAGCAAGGACAGGGAGGGACCCCATGGAGCACACGGGGTCCCATGGAGAGACCCTGTGGAGCAGGGAGGGACCCCATGGAGCAGGGAGGGACCCCGTGGAGCAAGGACAGGGAGGGACCCCATGGAGCAGGGAGGGACCCCATAGGGCAAGGACACAGAGCAGGGGAAGAGCAGAGATCATCCCCCCCACAAAGGGGCCAAGATTCTGGGATGATGCTGTTCCTGAAGTTCCTCTGGAACTTTTGGACTCTGGACATTTCTCTCCCAGTTCATCCCAGTTCTCACCCCCCTTGGAGAGGCCTCTTACTGCAGGTGACACTCTGTCATCAACAACAGCCTGGAGAACCCGTGGCTGAGTCCCTAAATCCAGGCTTGGGATGGGTCCCTCCACCCCAAACTCTCTCCCCTAATCCCGAGGGTTTCTGTGCTCAGGGAGAACCAGGAGAAACTCCATCCCAGCCTGCATCCATGGCTAATCCCAGCCCTTCTCCAGGCTGCAGCTCCCCTGTTCCTGCCCAGCCAGGAGCATCCAGCCTGCTGGAATTCCATGGATTTTCCATCCCTGGACCCAGGGCTCCCCGGTACTCACTGAGCGCGGGCTCTGCGCATTCCTTGTACTGCTCCGGGGTGCAGAAGGGAGCATCCCCTGCAGGGACAGGACAAATCCATCTCAGGGGCACACCCAGGGACGCCCCTGCAGCCAGGTGAGCCCAGGTGAGCCCAGCCGTGTCCACCACAAGGGCCTTGGCCTGCAGGAGCTGCTGGGAGCAGCATCCAGGGGGATCTGATCATGACAGAAGGCATTTCCAGCCTTCACCAGACCCAGGTCTCCCTTCCATGGCTTGGCCATTTCACAGGGAGTTATGGAATATCCTGGGCTGGAAGGGACCCCCAGGCTCATCCAATCCCACCCCTGCCCTGCCCAGACCCCCCAACACTCCCACCCTGGGCATCCCTGGCAGTGCTGTCCAAACCCTCCTGGAGCTCTGGGACCATTCCCTGGGGAGCCTGGGCAGTGCCAGCACCTCTGGGGGGAGAACCTTTCCCTGATCTCCATCCCAACCCCTGTAAGAGCTCACACCATTCCTGGGCTCCTGTCCCTGTCACAGGGAGCAGAGATGGGAGCTGTGCCTTCTGTGCCCCTCTGAGGACACTGAGCTCACTGAGCTCAGCCCTCAGCTGCTCCTCATGTGGCCCCTCCAGACCCTTCCCCACCTTCGTGTCCCTCCTTTGGACCCTCTCGAGTTCCTCGATGTCATTTTTATTTTGTGGTGCCCAAAGCCGGCCCAGAACTCCCAGTGAGGCTGCCCCAACCCAGAGCAGGGCTGGACAATCCCTCCCTGCCCCTCTGCTGTCCCCGATCCCCCAGGACAGGGATGGCCCTGCTGGCTCACATCCAGCTTTTCCCAAAGGCTACGGGCACCTTCTTCCCTCAGGAACCCCCAGTCCCTCCAGCCCAGCCCCAGATGTCCCCCAAGGTGTCCCTGTCCTTGACCTGGCATGTGAACCATTCCTCCAACCCATTGTGAGGTGTCCCCAGGTGTCCTTGTCACTTACCTTGCAAGTGGCCTGTCCCTCCAGTCTATGCTCCAGCTGTCCCCCAGTGTCCCTGTCCTTGACCATCCCTCCATCCCCAGGTGTCCCTGCTGTCCCCAGTGTCCCCAGTGCCCCTGTCCCAGACCTGAATTGTGAATCATCCCCCCAGACCATCCCCAGGTGTCTCAGGTGTCCTTGTCATTGATCTTGCACTTGGCCTGTCCCTCCAGCCCATCCCCAGATGTCCCCCTAGGTGTCCCTGTCCTTGACTGTCCCTCCAGCCCATCCCCAGGCATCCCTGCTGTCCCCAGCTGTTCCCAGTGTCCCTGTCCCTGACCTGACATATGGCCTGTCCCTCCATCCTCCATCCCATTGCCAGCTGTCCCCACTGTCCCCAGCTGTCCCCGGGTGTCTTTGTCCTTGACCATCACTCCAGCCCATCCCTGCCTGTCCCCAGCTGTCCCCCCTATCCCCCTGTCCCTGACCTGGCATGGGAACCATCCCTCCAGCCCATCCCCAGGTGTCCCCACAGGTGTCCCTGTCCCTGACCTGGCATGTGGACTGTCCCTCCAACCCATCCCCAGGTGTCTCATGTGTCCCCAGGTGTCCTTGTCCCTGATCTGGCACAAGGCCTGTCCCTCCAGCCCAGCCCCAGATGTCCCCCCAGATGTCCCTGTCCTTGATTGTCCCTCCAGCCCAACCCCAGGTGTCGCCCCTGTCCCCAGCTGTCCCCTGCTGTCCTTGCTGTCCCTGCTGTCACTGTCCCTGACCCAGCATGTGAATTGTCCCTCCAGCCCATTCCCAGGTGTCCCAGCTGTCCCCACTGAGCCTGCTGACCCCAGGTGTCCCTGTCCTTGACTGTCCATCCAGCCCATCCCCAGGTGTCCCTGCTGTCCCCAGTGCCCCTGTCCCTGATCTGACTTGTTAATTGTCCCTCCAGCCCATCCCCAGTGTCCTTGTCACTGATCTGGCACGTGGTCTCTCCTTCCAGTCCATGCCCCAACTGTCCCCCAAGGTGTCCTTGACTGTCCTTGACCATCCCTCCAGCCCATCCCCTGCTGTCCCTCCTGCCCCCAGCTGTTCCTGCAGGCTGTCAGCTCTACGCCAGGAATCCTCCCTCCATCCCATCCCCTGCTGCTCCCCCTGTCCCCAGCTGTCCCCTGCTGTCCCCCCAGTCCCTGACCTGGCATGTGCACCATCCTGCAGTTGCAGTTCTCCACGATGTAGCGTGTCTCGCAGTCGATCCTGCACGCTGTCACGCTGTACACCGGGAAGAACGCCAGGCCCAGCTCCGGGGAGCGGCACTCACCCCACGGCGGGGGCAGGTACGTCAGCTGGGGACACAGGGACAGGGACGGAGGTCAGCTGGGACACAGGGGACATTAGATGGGGACAGGGACAGCACAGGGGGCAGGTACGTCAGCTGGGGACACAGGGACATCAGATGGGGACACATGGGGACAGGGGTCAGCTGGGGACAAAGGGGACATCAGATCGGGGCAGGGACATCAGATGGGGGCAGGTATGTCAGCTGGGGACACACAGGAACATTAGATGAGGACAGGGACAGGGCTGTCAGATGGGGACACATGGGGACAGTGGTCAGCTGGGGACACAGGGGACATCAGATGGGGACAGGGACAGCACGGGGGCAGGTATGGCAGCTGGGGACACAAGGGGACAGGGTCAGGGGTCAGATGGGGACACGGGACACAAGGGGACAGGGCTGTCAGATGGGATACAGGGGGACAGGGACATCAGCTGGGGACAGGGACAGCACAGGGGTCAGCTGGGGACAGGGGTGTCAGATGGGAACAGGGATAGGGACATCAACTGGGAGACAGGGATGGGGACAGAGTCATGAGCTGCAGGACAGGGCCAGGGCCAGCGAGAGGGACAGGGACATGTCCCCTGTCACAGGGCAACCCCTGCAGCCCCTCAGGGCATCCCCCCTCCCAGGAGCTCCCTGACTCCTGGGATAACTCGCTGGGACAAGCTGTCCCAGTGCCACTGAGTGACACTCCCAGGTGACAGTGAATGTCCTGGAGGTGACACTCCCAGCGTGAGGTGACACTCCTAGGTGACAATGAATGTCCTGGTGCTGACACTCCCAGGTGACAAAGAATGTTCTCGTGGTGACAATGAACATCCTGGAGGTGACACTCCCAAGTGACAATTAATGTCCTGGAGGTGACACTCCCAGTGTGAGGTGACAGTAGATGTCCTGATGGTGACACTCTTAGGTGACAATGAACATCTTGGAGGTGACACTCCCAGGTGACAATGAACATCTCATGAGTGGCAGCAGCTGTGGAGGGATCAGCTGGAATTTCTGCCTGCCAGACTCTGCTTTACAAACTGGAAGAGCTCCATCAAACCCTCCCAAGCAGGAGGATCTGCACATTCCCTGGAAATGTCTGGAGTTTTCCCCCAGCTGCTGCTCCCAGCCTGGCACGGGAATCCCTGGGCTTAAATCCAGGGGGAATCCATCCCTGAGGGCTCCCCTGAACCCCTGCCTGGCCAAATCAGGGCTGAAACCTCAGGAAAAGCCTTTCCAAGCACAGCCTCAATCCCATGGAGCTGCTGAACTCCTTTCAGAGCTGGATTCCTGCTCCTGTGGCCCTGGAGCTGCTGGGAAAGGCACCCCAAGGAGCTGGAGCAGGATGGAGGGAGCAATCCCAGCCCCCAGCCTTGGGAGGGATTAATGGGACAGACTTCATTGGGCTTGATCCCTCACCCTGCAGCTCCTCCAGATCCAGATCCTGATCCTGATCCAGATCCAGATCCAGATCCAGATCCTGATCCTGATCCTCCTCCTCAGGGGTTCCTGAGGGATTCCCTTTCCTTTCTGCCAGATTATCCCAGTTGGGTGTTGGTGGGAGGGATCCAGGCTGGATCAGCCCCGGGATGTGAAGCTGCTCCCTCCACCTATGGAATGCAGGGTGACCCCAACATCTAGCAATGATTGGCACCTGATCCATGATTGGCATCTGATCCATGATTCAGAATGCTGAACAATTGCTTTACTAACACTACACTGTATTACATTAATAATATATCATAACTACACTAAAGAGATACTAAATTATACTAAAGAAAAACCCATGACTGTCTGAGACAGCCTGGACACAGCTTTGACCCAGCTGGCCAAGGAATCAAAACAATCCTCAGCAGAATCCAATTGATAAATTACTTTGGGTAAACAATCTCCATAACACATTCCACGTGTGCAAAAACAACAGGAGTAGTGAATAGAGATAAGAATTGTTTTCTCTTCTTCTCTCTGTGCTTCTCCAGGAAAAATCCTGTGAGAGAGAATGATGTCTCTCTCTGTTGAATGTGAATGCCACATCCACCCTCCCCTGCTGCCCCCAAAGTGGGAACAAACCACAGCAAAGCAGGGAAAAGGCAGCAGGAACATCCCTGCCCTCGGATCCTGCAGGATTTGTGCTCCCTGGCAGCTTCCCCAGGGCTCCTGCTCCTTCTCCTGTGTAAGAAATCCAGCTCCAGCCTCTAATTGAGGGTGACAAACTCCCAGCCTGTCCCTTTTGCAGTCATCAATAATTAATTAATGAATTAAACGCTTTTCCTGCCCTCCTGATCCTGGCTTTATCCAGGATCATCAGGATCAGTTCCCAGCTGGCAGTTGCTAAAAGGGGAAGGAAAAAATGGATTTGACTCCTTGGAAGCTGGATGGATTCTGCTTGTCCCAAATGCCAGGAAAAGAGGGGATGAGCTTGGAAAACCTGGAGGGGAGAGACCCCAGGGCAGGGGAGGATCAGCTCCTGCCACAGCCCTTCCCTGGCCACACTCCTGCCTTTCCACACTGCTCCTGGCACGGAGCATCTGCCCACAGCCAGAGGTCACTCCTTCAATTACCTGGAGGTGCTATCCCTGATTTTCCTGCCTGTTTCATTTTCTCAAACAGGGAAATGTGTGGAGATGATCGGAGCAGTTTGATAAAATCCTAGAATATCACAGGTTGGGAGGGGTCCCATAAGGACTGAGTCCAGCCCCTGTTCCTGACCAGGACCCCAACAATCCCCCAGGATCCCAACAATCTCACCCTGGGCATCCCTGGAGTGGTGTCCAAACCCTCCTGGAGCTCTGGGACCATTCCCTGGGCAGTGCCAGCACCTCTGGGTGATGAACCTTTCCCTGCCCCATTTCCCTCTGGCTCTGGGATGGATCCAGCACCAATCCCTGCCCAGACCTCCTCACCAAATTTCAGCGATCCCAAAGAAGGATCCAAGCCCTCCCTGAACGTCCCCACCTGGGCTGGGTTCCCAATGAAACCAGAACCAGAACCCTCTGCTTCTTAAGGAGACCTCCAGCAGCAGCAGCTTCTTGAATTTCCATCCCAGGCAGCTCCAGCCCTTGTGGAATGCTGAGAAACCCAGAGCAGGCACGGCTGGCTGATCCCAGGTCCCAGTTAATGATGCTGGAACTGCTCCCAGTTAATGGTGCTGGAATTGTCTGTTTGCATCTCCAGCTCCTTTCCCATCCTGCTTGTTCTTCCCCATTTGCTCCCTGCCTGAGGAATTGGTTTCCAGGGATGAATTTGACCCTTCCAGCCCCTTGGGGCAGAGCTTGGTGGTGTTACAGAGCTCATGAGTGCTCAGGGAATTTGGGATTTTGGAGCTCCAGGATCCTTCTTTGCAAATCCAACAGGAACAGCAGCACTGAAACCTCCTGGAGATCCAGAAAAAGTCCAGGGCAGCCCCTCCAGAGCCTCATCCCAGGTTTGCTCCCACTCCTGCTCCCCCTGGATGGACTGGGGCTGTGGCTCAGGGGCAAAATCAGCCTTAAATCCCCAATAAAATGGAATTATGGAATTGTAAAGGCTGGAAAAGTGCTCTGAGATTGAGTTCAGCTCTTCCCTCTAAGCCACCACTGCTCCATGTCTGCAAATGTCACATCCACACGGATGAAACCCCTCAGGGATGGGGATTCCCCCCAGGAATCTCTCCCCCTGCTCATTCCCCGGCACACCCAGAGGCAGCCAGGCCATTCCCCCTCGTTCTCCCAGAACATTCTGCCTGGATTTGTTGGACCCAATTCCCAAGCTCTGGCAGAGGTGCCAGTTTGGGGGGTGGGGGGAATTGGACTCTGAAGTTTTCCTGTCCTCACTTTTCCACCTTATTATAAAATCCACTTTTCCACAGGGCACAGGGGGAGCAGGAAACCCAAACCATTCCCTCATCCTCAGATCTGATGGCTCTTCCTGACCTCCCTTCCCACCCTCTGCCTCTTCCAGGCTCTGCTTCATCTCCATCCATTGCCTAAGAGAATCCTGGAATGGTTTGGATGGGACCTTAAGAATCATTTAATTCCCACCCCTGCCATGGCAGGGACACCTTCCACTGTCCCAGGCTGCTCCAGCCCCAATGTCCAGCCTGGCCTTGGGCACTGCCAGGGATCCAGGGGCAGCCCCAGCTGCTCTGGGCACCCTGTGCCAGGGCCTGCCCACCCTGCCAAGGAACAATTCCCAGTTCCCAATCTCCCATCCAGCCCTGCCCTCTGGCACTGGGAGCCATTCCCTGTGCCCTGTCCCTCCATCCCTTGGAAACATTCCCTCTCCACTTTCCCTGCAGCCCCTTCAGGTCCTGGAAGGTCCCATTTTGGTCACCCCTGGTGGCCCCTCCAGGATGAACAATCCCAGTTTTTTTTAACCAGGAAAAGTCTCCCTTGGCCACGTGTCCAGAAGCAGCTTGGGCTCTTTAACCCATCCACCACATTTTATGGCCAAACCTCCTGCTGGAATTGCTTTCTCAGCAGTTTTTGCTGCTGACTCAGCATTTCCTCCCCACCACTGCCATGTCCCTCCCAAGGTCACTCCTGCAGTAACTCCCAAAGTGGGAAATGCATCCCAGAAGTGTCTCCTTGCAGAAACCATGGGGCTCAGTCTCTGCAGGAGGAGGAGCAAAGCTGATTTAATTCCCGTTTTTCCAGCCTGAAAGCTCCTTGTAAAGGGAGATTTTTAATGAGATGCCAACTACAGAGCAGAGCTGGCTCTGGACAGGGGGATTTGGGGAAGCTCTGGGTGGAAAGCCAGGATTTATGGTCCCAAGATGTGAATCCTCAGTGGTGCTGAGCTGCAGCCCTGGGAAGGCAGAAAATCATGGAGCAAATCCCAGGGAATGCTCTGAATTCCAGAGTGGGATGGAGAAAGAAGGGAGAGATTTGAGCAGGGCCACAGGGAACGATTCCACAGCCAGGAATGAACCCCCCACATCCCAAATTCTGACCCACTCCACATCATCCCAAATCTTCCCCACTCCACACCTTTTATCCCTGTAAAAAGAGATTTTAACTCCCTGAGGCTGCTATGAGC